AAGTTCTTTATATGTTTTGGATATTAACCCTTTATCAAATGTATCATCAGTGAACATGTTCTCCCATTCAGTGGGTTTCCTTTTCATTTTATTGACTTTTTTTTTTTTTGCTGTACAAAAGCTTTTTAGTTTAATACTGTCCCATTTGTTTATTTTTTCCTTTGTTTCCCTTATTTTAGGAGCTATATCCGCAAAAATATTGCTATAAGTAATATCTGAGATTTTACTGCCTCTGTTTTTTTCTATGATTTTTATGGTTTCATGACATATTTTTAAGTCTTTAATCAATTTTGAGTTTATTCTTGTGTATGGTGTAAGTTGGTGTTCTAGTTTCTTTTCTTTTCTTTTTTTTTTTTGCATGTATCTGTCCAATTTTCCAAACAACATTTATTGAAGAGACTATCTTCACCCCATTGTATGTTCTTGCCTCCTTCGTCAAGTATTCATTTAATATAAAGGCATGGGTCTATTTGGGGCCTCTCTGTTCTGTTCCATTGATCTGTATGCAGGTTCCTTATGTCAGTACCATTCTGTTTTGATTACTCTAGATTTGTCATATGGTAGTGTGATACCACCAACTTTGTTCTTCTTTCTCAAGATTGCTCCAGCTGTTAGGGGTCTTTTGCGGTTTTATATAAATTATTGGAATATTTGTTCTAGAACCATGAGATATGCCACTTGTATTTTAATAGGAATTGTGTTGAAGCTATAGATTGCTTTGAGTAGTATGTATGTTTTAATGATGTTAACTCTTGTTATTTATGAACATGGTATATGCTTCCACTTATTTGTATCTTCTTCAGTTTCTTTCTTGAGTATCCTATAATTTTCCAAGTGCAGGTCTTTTACCTCTGTAATTAAATTTATTCCTAGATATCTTATTTTTTTGTTGAAATAGTAAATGCGATTGTTTTATTTATTTCTTTTTCTGGTAGTTCATTATTGGTGTATAAAAATGCCACCAATTTTTTTAATATTAATTTTGTATCCTGCTACATTACTGAATTTATTTATCAGTTCTAGTAGTTTTGGGGGGATTTATATATACAGTATCATGTCATCTGCAAAAAATGACAGTTTTACTTCTTCCTTTCCAATTTAAATGCTTTATATTCTTTTTGTCTGATTGCTGTCGCTAGAACTTCCATGACTGTGTTGAATAGGAGTGGTAAATGTGGGTACCCCTGTCTTGTTCCTTGTCTTAAGGGGAATGCTTTCAGTTTTTGCCCACTGAGTATGATATATTGGCTGTGGATTTGTCATATATGTTATATTTGACATATTTGTCACATATGACCTTTACTATGTTGTGGTATAATTCCCCTATTCCCACTTTGTTTAAAGTTTTTTTAATCATAAATGGGTGCTAATTTTATCAAATGCTTTTTCTGTATCTATTGATAAGAGCATGTGATTTTTATCCTTCACTTTTTTTATATGGTATACCATGTTTATTGGTTTTCATACATTGTACCAACCTTGCATCCCCAGAATAAATCCCACTTGATCATGGTGTATGATCTTTTTATTGTCTTGCTGGATCTATTTTGCTAATATTTTGTTGAGGTTTTTAACTTCTGTGTTCATCAAGGATATTGACATATAATTTTCTTTCTTTGTTGTGTCTTTGGTTTTAAAATTAGAATAATTCTGGTTTCATAAAAATAGCTTGGAAGTGTTCTATTCTCTTGAATTTTTTGGAATAGTTTGAGAAAAATAGGTGTTAGTTCTACTTTGAATGTTTGGTAAAATTTGACTGCGTAGCCTTCCAGTCCAGGACTTCCGTTTTCTGGGAGTTTTTTTTTTTGTTTTTTTTTTTTACTGCTTTGATATCATGTAATTGGTGTTTTCTGGTTTTATTTTTCCTGATTCTGTTTTGGAAGATGTATGTTTCTAAAAATGTATCCATTTTGCCCAGGTTGTCTAATTTGTTGATATATAGTTGCTCATTATATTTTTTTACAGTCCTTTGTATTTCTTGGTGTGGCCAGCAGATTTTTGACTACAAATTTAATCTTCTTACTAACATTCATCTGTTCAGATTTTCTTTCTTCCTGATTCAGTCTTGGTAGATTGTATGTTTCTAATCTTTATTTCTTTTCTTCTGCTAACTTTCAGGTCAGTTTGTTTTCTTTTTCTGGTTATTTTAGGGTTATGATTCAGTTGTTTATTTTAGATCTTTTTTATTTATTAATGTATGTTTTAATTTCATGAACTTACCTTTTTGAACTCTTTTTGCTGATTCCCATTACTTTTTGTTTATCACATGATTTTTTAATTTCCTCTTTAAATTTTTCTTTAATCTATTGGTTGTTAATATCAATGTATTCATGAGTTTTTTTAGTTTTTCTTCTGTTGTTCATTTCTAGTTTTGTAGCATTGTGGTCAGAGAACATATTTAGCATGATTTTAACCTTACTGAATTTTTCAAGCCTTGTTTTATAGTCTAACAAATAGTCTATACTGGAAAATGTTCCATGTGCACTGAGGAGAATGTGTATATTGCTGTTGTTGGAGTGTTCTGAATTTGGCTCAGGTTCTTGTGGTCTATAGTGTTGTTTAAGTAAGCTTTAGCATCATCCCATGGAATTTTTATATGTTGTGGTTTTTTAATTTGTTTTGAGACAATTTTTATTTTCTTTTTAATTTCTTCTCAATACATTTGTTATTCACATGTATGTTGTTTAGGTTATACATATTTGTAAAATTTTCCAGCTTTGTGTTCTTTTTTTTCTAGCTTCATACCATTGTGGTCAGAAAAAATAGTTATTTTTTTCAGGCTTCTTAAATTTTCTCAGACTTGTTTTGTGTCTTATCATATGATCTATGCCAGAGAATGCTCCATGTGCGCTTGAGAAGAATGTGTACTCTGCTGTTGTTGGATGGAATGGTCTATGCATATCTGTTAAATGCATTTGATACAGACAATGGCTCAATTCCAACATACCAAGGAGGTTGCTCTTGCTGCTGCCAAAAGCATCAGCACTTGCACTGACCCCATGGGGAGCGGGATTACCTTTACAAATTCCTCCCTCTCATCTGCTTTCTAACTTGTTTCTAACCCTCTCCAATGTCATGCTTGAATCTCCCTTCAGGCAGGCTGGCCTTACACATATAATCTTACTCACATATATCTATCCAGTTGCACACTTTCCAGGTCTCTTCTTCCCAATGCCTGAGAGTGGGGATGTGACAACTTTGAAGACTTCCTTGGTCTGAAGGCCCCACCTAGATTCCATTTGTTGGTTTTGAATGCACAGGCTTGCTAGAAACCTCTTGGGTCCCTTGGTGTAATGTGCCGAGTCACTTTCGTTCAGTTCTGGATGTCAAATTTGTTTTATAAATGGAGAAAAAAAGTAACTACTTATACTGCCATAATGCTGATGTCTCTTATAGATTTCATTTTTGAAGTACATTTTTGTCACACGTTTTGTTCTTGATTCACAGTTATTTTCTTTTAGCTCTTTAAGATTTCTGCAAGGAAAACCATTCATCTTGTAGAGGCTCTTTTGTATGTGATATGTCACCGTTCCCATGCAACTTTGAAGATTCTTCTTTTGTGTTTGATTTTCAAGAGTTTGGTAAAATATATCTCATTGTGGGATTCTTTGGGTTTAACCTATTTGGAATTTGTTGAACCTCTTATATTGTGTATCCAATTTTTTTTCAAATTAGGGAGTTTTCAGCCATTATTTCTTCAAATAATGTCTATGTCTCCTTTTCTCTGTCTTTTCCTGGGACTCTTATAATGTATGTATTATTCCACTTGATGGCATCCTATAAATACTTTGCTCTCTTTTCACACTTTTTTATTATTTCTTTTTGTCCCCAGACCCAATGATTTCAAATGGTCTGTCTTCAAGTTTGTTTTGTTGATTTCTTATTCTGCGTGTTTCAGCCTTCTGTGGAACCCTTTTAGTGAATTTTTCAGTTCACTTATTATGTTTTTTAGTTCCAGAATTTCTGGTTGTTGTTTTTTTATTACAGTTTATATCTGTGTGTTTATATCGTAATTTTCTTCATATCATGTTCCTGATTTTTGTTTGTCCATGATGTCTTTTAACCCACTGAACATTTTTAAGACCATGTTTTAAAACCTTTCGTAATGTAAGCCAGAAGGATTGGTATTTAAAGATTTATTTTATTCCTTTGAATGCCTGTTTCCCTGTTTCTGTGTATGCCTTGTTTTCTTTTTTAAAATTACATATTTAAAATAATGTCTGCCTCTCCTCATCTTCATGGACTGGCTTTGTGCAAAGGAAGTCCTTTACCAATTAACCTGGCCTAAAGATTTAGTGTTGTCTCAAAGCCTTTGAAGATGTGTTTTTTGGGGGCCTGCACACTTTTAAATTCCAATTCCTTTATATATATATATATAACTACTTTTCAATGTCTTCATTTCCCTAAATGTTTCATCCTTATTTCTTCTCAAGCCCTTAGTTGTTTTATATTGTTGCTCTGTCTATAATATCTTATACCCAGACACCCACAGGTCGGCAGTAACCCTGTACCTCTTTCATGCCACAGCTCCAACCACTGCTTTTGACAGTTTCCCACCTGATATACAAACTATGCCTCTATTCCTCCCATCAGTGTTCTCCATCAGGCAAGAGATAAACCAGTGCTCCAGGCTACCCCTATACTAGCCAGAACTCTGCAAGCAAATTCCACTCTTTTCTTCCCATTGCAGGGTAGAAGTTAGGAGTTAGGTGGCTTCCTCCCAGTCTTTCTGCACTGTGCCAAGAAGGGGATGAGACAAGAATGAGCAAAGGCAACATGCGATTTCTGAGCATTTGAGTGCAGCTTTCCTTTTTTGATCATTTGTTTTATTGCTGCAGTTTCTTAACTGGTTTTCAGAGGTCACACAGAGCTACTCTGGTCTGTATGTTGGTATTTCCAAGAAGAAATGAAGGGTGTAAGCCATCTTGCTGACATCATTCTCCAATGATATCTTTTTTTCCTAAACATGTTTGTCTCTTGTTATATCTTCATTTTCTAAGGTTGTAGCTCACCTGGAAAATACACTAGGAGCCTCAGTTCAACATGTTAAACTGAAGCAAATGAAGTATTCTTTTCAGTTATGGGTCACAATGATGTCAGCAAAAGGACATGATGGGAAGGTATGTTCACTACTTTTTCCTTTCTTCTTTCCTTTTGTAAATATTTATTGACCTTCTGTTGTGGTCCATATGTTCTAGATATGTAGGAATGAAATTAATAATCAAATAGGTGACATAGTTAAATAATTAAAGATTATACAGTTTAGTGAGTGCTATACTGGAATAAGCATGTATGATTGTATGATCATAGAGGGAGGACCCATCTCTGTGTGGAAGTCAGGAAAAGCTTCCTGGTGTAAGATTTCTATTTACCAATACTTGAATAATTTGGAGGCCTTAACCAGGTAAAGAAATTATAAAAGGTGTTCCAAGCAGAGGTAACATTATGAACAGGGTACAGTGCCATGAGGTTTATTCCAGTATAGTGTGTGCTGGGTATTAGAGCATTTAGGCTTCAGCGAAGCATGTAAAGTGATTAGGTAATTCCAGTTGTCAAGGCCACACTTTGCTGCCCCCATCAGAGGTTTTTACGGATAAGCACACAATTACCTGCTTTTCTACAATGTAATTTACCCTCCTGTTATTTGCTAAGTTTGGAAGCTGATGTGGATAATTGTGAAAGATGTCTTATTTATGATTTCTTCAGGCTTGTTGAAGATTTTAAATATGAATCCTTTAATAATAGTAAGTTAAATTTGACATTATGAAGAAATAGAAAAGTCATTTTCAAGTCTTTTAACTTTCGTACATATGTTGGCCATTAAGAATATGTATGTTGGAGTGTGACAGACCCAAATTCAAATTACAAGCCACTTCTTAGCTCTGTTTTCTTTTTGGTGAGATAGCTCTTATTTATTCTTCACTTTACTCATCTGTAAAATGAAGCTATTGATACCTGTGTTATAATATTATTTTCTGGATTAAGAAAGTATTTAGTAAAGTGTCTGATGTTTAGTAGCCCTTCAATAAAGGAGCACTTTCACAATCCCCTTCCATCTCAAGGAAAATAAATTATCAGTCACTATAGTGTTTAAGAAACAAATAAATTGTTTCTTTTTATAAGGACTTTGGAAATATCTCAGAATAGGAAGTTCATGTAAACCTACAAGCTTAGGTGTTTGACTCTGAGATATAGGTTCATAATCAGAGTATGAGAAAAAAGCTAAAACAAAGATTAGTAACAAAAATTTTATTCTGAGCTCTTGCAGGAGATACTTTCTTGTATTTAATAACTTGGAGAAACTCATAACACAGGTGCTGATTGTTAAAATAGATCCTAAAATTAAAAACCTGAAATAAGACAAAAGGGTGAAAAAACTTGTCTCCTCTCACCTTGAATTACAATGCCTGACTCAGATCTGGTATTCATAGGCACTCTATCATATTGCTCAGTAATGGTTCATCTCTTAAGAACAAATACATTCTATGGCCGGTACTTGAAGCTTTACCTATGGAAAAAGGATGTGGCCATTTTCTCAGCCATACATATTTATGGCCATTTTGTTGCTTTATTATAAGAGATTTATCAAATTATAATTTATATATCATGCAAATCACCCATCTAAAGCATACAATTAAATGATTTTTAAAACACGGGATTGTGCAACCATCACTACAATCAATTTTAGAACATTTTCATCACCACAAAAAGAGACCCATTCTCATTATCAGTCACCTTCAACATCCTCACTGCCCTGATCCATAGCCTTGGCAAAAACTGATCTACTTTCTGTATCTATTGATTTGCTTATTCTGGACATTTCAAATAAGTAGAGTTATACATTGTGTGGTGTTTTGTTACTGTCTTCTTTCACTTAGCTTAATATTTTTTTACATTTTATCCATGTTGTACCTTGTATTAGTACCTTATTTCTTTTTATGGCTGAATAATATTCTATTGAATTGATACAATTTGTTTATACATCACCTGATTACTATGTGGCTATTATTTATAGTAGTGCTGTGAACGTTCCTATTCACATTTTTATCTTAACCATACATTTTTTGATAAAATACTTGTATTTCCTGTTTTAGCAGTTTGATATGTTTATTTTCACATTTAAATTTTAATCTCTTCCTTTCCCAGTTCTTTTGTAAAATTAAATTTATTGGTGTGACATTGGTTAATAAAATTTTCTTTAATCTCAGGAACCTGTGACATTTATGGATCTGCTTAGTGACCATGGCAAGCCTATCAGCCCTCTGTGGGAATTGATCAAATGGTGCCTGGGCTTATCAGTGCACACCATCCCTGCCATTGGTATATAAATCATCTTTTCTCTGGTTTGATGTCTTAAGGGGAGGGAAGAACATCTTACCAAAAATATAAGAACCACTCACAACACTTTGAAGAAAGCTGAAATATATGAATAATGAATTAGTATTCATCATTTACTGACATCTCACTATGTGACAAGCACTGTCCTGTGCATTTTATCCCATTGATTTACAATGTATCTATTATAATGCTCATTTCATAGATTTAGAAACCTTAATTCATAAAGGTTAGATGGGTACCAAGTTAAGGGGTGCTCTTCAAATGTTTATCTTACAAATTCAAATACCCAGGATGCTTTCCCTGTGTTATGTATTCTATTTAAATATCTAAGTGGAAATTTTGGACAATATATTTGACTTTAAGGATGGGCCCATTCAAGAATATTTTGGTGAATTAACATATCAAAATGTTAATTATGGTCATGTTGAATAAGTTTAGTTGAAGAAGCTCACCAAAGAAATTAGTACAGTTGTGGAAACTTGTTGAAGAGTTGGTCATCTGTTGTTATTGTAAACAAATGCTCATTGAGTACTTAAGTGCTAAATACTAGGTTTTTAGT